TGTAGGTGACCTACTGACTTGTGTGTGTGTGTGTTTGCGCAGTTGTAAAGCAGGCTTATTTCATCTCTGTGTATTGTGATGTCAGAGTGACCTTGTATGGTTAAGACGGTGTCCGTCTGCCAGCAGAGTAACAGGACGTCGCGATGAGTGTCAGGCTGGCTCTTTGAAGTCGCAGTCACTCGGCGTTTGCGTCTCTTGAGTTTTGAGCAAGTGTGGGGACTTGATTCGGGCAGATGGAGACACCAGTGACTGACTGCTCATTTGCAGAACAGGACTGGGGGCTGTGTCCAAAACAGACTTCCCGACATGGGAGCCGGAATTAGGTCAGCTTCCCCGACTGAGACACACACAACACTGCAGACGCTGAAGTCTGACCTCCCAAGTCCACGGTTGTGTAGTAACTTAGTGGAGGTCCCCCAGCATTGCCTCTTGCTTGATGAGTTTCTTCTCTTCCTGTTGGTTGAGGCTGGGGCCCTGCTGTGTTCTGTACATAGCTCTAGCAAGTCCCCCAAGGTTGGCAGCGCGATCGTGACCTTGTATAGTTTAGGATGCTTGTCCCGACTCAGACGTCGATTATTTTTGTTCCTCATTGGTAATTACTTACCACGTCACAGTCCTGTCTCTTCCCTGTATCTTACATTCTGGGGCTACAGGAATTTGTGCAGATCTACCCGTATCTGTTTGTCTCTGCGTGGACAGCCACGTGGAGGCATCAGGAAGTTAATGGAGGGATGGGCCTGGAGTGCAGCAGCCAGGTCAATGCTTGGGACACCTGTATCCCCATGTCAGAGAGCCTGGTTCGAGTCCTGGCTCCTCCATATCAGACCTAGCCTTTTGCTAATGCCACAGCCTGGGAGGAAGCAGGCTCAATTGCTTGGAACTCTGCCATCTACATGGGAGACCTGAGTGGGGTTCCCGGCTCCTGATTCAGCCTGGCCCAGCCCTTCCTGGTTTGTACATCTGGGGAGTGAACCTACAGATGCAAGATCTCTCTGCTAGTCTGTCTGCCTTTCAAGTAAAATGAAGAGAAATAAATAGAAACTGTGTAGAAAGTTAATGGAAAATGTATAGCACATTTTTATTCCAATGTTTTCATTGACTTGTTGAACCTCCTTATAAAGATATAGATACCAATATACAGGCATATAGGGAGAGAGTGAGTCACCTGGGTTTGCAGGAAATTACAAAGACCCTGTGTATTCCTCCCCTAGTTTCCTCATATAACTATAAACAATCGGTTTATGATTTATAAAACTATAAAAAGCCAGTGCAAGGCTAGTTCTTGCGTTTTGAAGATGTATTTGGAAGGCAGTATTGCAAAGAGGAAGGAAGAAAGAGAGAGAGAGAGGTGGGGAGAGAGAGAGAGAGAGAGAGAGAGAGAGAGAGAGAGAGAGAAGCTCTTTCATTTGCTGTTTCACTTTCCAAAAGGCCACAATAGCCAGGGCTGGGCCATGCTGAAGCCAGGAGCCTGGAACTCCATCTGGGTCTCCCATGTAATCCCCAGGGGCCCCGTTCCTTGATCCATCTTCTACTGCTTTGGTGCAGTAGCAGGGAGCCGGATGGAAAGTGGAGTGATTGACACTCCAGCTGGCACTCCGATCAGATGCTGGTGTTAGAGATGGCAGGTGAAGCCACTACACCGTCACACCAGCCTTCCGTGGGTTCTGATGTTAGTGTGGTGTGGTGTTAGCTGATGCTTGGTGTGATCAGCAGGGAGGTCTCAGGGTCCAGGGCTCAGGCACAGGAGGGCCTCAGAATACATGTGGCCTAATAGGTAAGGGTTGGCAGCATGTATTGGGCATGGGAATCGGTGGCAAGAGAAGGGTGTTGGGAAGGAAAAACAAGCTCCGTTTGGCCGAGAACAGACCAGGGTGTGGACTGCAGTTCTTACGTAAATCAGAAATTCTTTTCCTCCTGATTATCACCTCCTGATGTGTTTTGCTCAAAACGGATCGCTTTTGAAGTTTCTGCAGGTTCCCAGTGTCCATCACAGGGCAGATAAAAGCGATAATGGTGCCTCCCGGAGTGGATGTTTTAGTCTGAACTCTGTCTGCAAAAGCAGGAACAGCTTGCTTTAAAAAAGGAAAAATTGATGTAGCAATTTTGCCAACTCTGCAATTAGGACCGTGTGCTCCAAAGGAGGTGTGGGTCTGGCAGGGTCCGCAGTCGGCCCTGAAGGCGGTGTGCTTGCTGTGAAGAGGCTGCGGTGTGGCGGGGCAGGCCCATGTGACAGGTGGTGCATTGTCCTATTTCTGCATGTCCTTGGTTGCTTCACAGCTCGCGTGCCTTTCTGGGCGTGTCTGCCGTGCAGGTGGTGGTCGCTGTTCTTCGTCTTTTGTCTGAGTTTCCGATTGAAGCTCTGGGGTGTTTGCCAAAGCTGTGCTTTGCTGTGTTTTCACTCCTCAGTGAGCCAATTTGCAAATAAACATCTGGGCAATACTGGCATTGCGCCAGCATTCGCCCTCTCCAGCTGAGGAAACTCCTTCAAACCTTATGTCATCATGCTGATTAGAACACCCACTCCCTAACTCTATCGAATATCTAGGTTTGAGCCCCGATTCTAGCTTTGCTCATGCAAGTCATACCACAAATAGCTGGAGACCAGAACTGGGTTCCCAGCGCCTGACTATGGCCTGATTCAGTCCGGGGTTTTAGCAGCTATTTGGGGAGTGAACTAGCAGATGGAAGATTTCTAATGCATTCTGCCTTTCAAAGAAAGCTTAATAAATATAAGCAGGGATACTTGTTTTTTTTGCCATGTAGCTGAAGGGTCATTTGAGCAAGTAATTAACTTTGTCTTAGTGTCTTTATCTGCAAAATCAATCTGGTCTGAAAAGAGGCTGCCTTAGAAGAAACAGCAGAGAAGCAGGAGGCAGACAAAATGGAGGTCATAGCAGGGAAGGCCGTGGTTTACAGGTAGGGCCAAAGCCAGGAGCCCAGAGCTTCATCCGGGTTGCAGAGGCTCAGACACTTGAACCGTCTTCTATTGCTTTCTCAGCCCGGGAGCAGGGAGCCAGGTCAGAAGCGGAGCATCTCGGACACGAACCAGCACCCATGCTGGCCTCGCAGGCAGTGGCTTTACCCGCAGTGCCACAATGCTGGCCACTGTAGTAATTTCTCTAAGTAGAATCTTAATAAATTGCTTCAGTTAGCCAATAATTTCAACATATTATGCACAAACAGTTATTCCATTTAAAACTGTTAAGAAGACTGCACCATAAATAAATCAAGTTGAACATTCCATATTGTTTTTTTTTTAATTTGCTTATTTTGCCTTTAATGAAAACCTATTTAAAGCAAACGTCTTTTAAGTGGCAGAATAATATGGTAACATATCTTCATTAATTTAATACTTAGCTGTAAGGAGTGCGTATGAGAGATTTCATTAAAAACAGCAAGGTGCCTGAACAACAAAGCTGAGATGTTTTTAATCACAGAATTATAGTAATTATACAAATCTCAAGATTTTCATCAGGCAAAAAAAGGCTTCTAGGGCTAAAGCACGCAGTTTCAACAGAGCACTAATAATCATGTATTGTTCTAAACTATTGGAGGAAGAATCCTTGGGCCAAGGGAGATACTCGAGAGGAGAGGTTAAGCGTTGAAGTTGTATGGGAAATTGAGCATCGCACCATCTTGCTAGCAGTTCTGCAAGATGCATTTCTGCTGGGTCACAAAATAGCATCCCCCATGTGAGGGCACCGGCATAGCAGGTGAATTTTCAGATAACCACAAGGGTGCCTGTTACCACTTCTCGTGTCTTTCACTTAGAATGGCCAGGGAGCCCTTTTCTCTCTCCTCCCAGGGGCTGAGTTGCCCAGAAGCCCGGCCCTTTTTCCTGTTAGTAAACAGAACAGCCAAGCTAAAGCTGAGATGACTGCTGGCCCGGAATGAGGATGTCTGGGTTGGATGATAAGTACGCAAAGAAGAACTGAGTTATCATGGCAATGACTGAGCATGTCAGCAGTGGAGTCTGAAAGGCCCTGTGATGGACGTGAGAGTTTCCAAGATTTATTTACCCATCTGCTGGTCTATTTCCCAAATGCCTGCCGATGGCCTGGGCTGGGCCAGGCTGAATCCAGGAGCCTGGAGCTACCCCCGGGTCTCCCACGTGGCTGCAGGGGCACAAGCACGTAGGCCATCTTCCACTGCTTTCTTAGGCATATTCTCGGGGAGCTGTATTAGAAGTAGAGCAGTCAGGACTAAAAATGGATGCTCATATGGGATGCTGGCATCGGAAGAGGTGGTTTAACCGGCTCTGCCACGGCTCCTAAGAACTTCTGAGGAGCAGGCAGTGAGCCTGGAGAGGTGATATGCCTGGGGTGGGAGCCTGGCATGACGGTGTTTCTGGTCTCTGGACTTCCCTCAGCTTCCCTTGCACACACACACACACACACACATACACACACACGATGGCGTCATCTGTGTTTGCACACACACACCTGGAGGGTGAGCTGGAACATCTACCGCTCATGCCTTCTTACTGTACCCCCTCACACCTTGAGTTCACAGATGCCGACCTCCAGCCCCTCATTAGAAAGCCTGGGGAACCCCAGTGCTCTTTCTGGGGTGCACACAGGTGAATACAATGCAGGCTCACAGAGCTGCTGCACTCCTGCTGGGCACTCCCTGGCTGACAGGTTCCCCTCATCCCCCCCCCGACTGTAATTACAAGGTCATTGAAGTTTTGCTCGTTCCCTTTGAACTGTCCCGTACTTGGCTGTGTTGCAGAATGTACACGATGCACGTAAGGTGTGAAGCTAAGCAGTCTGCCTGGGACCTGCTGTTCACACCTTGCCGTGTCTGCCTCCTTCCCCTGCCTCCTTCGTGCATCGCCCCAGCTGTGCGCACCATGTTCTGCGTTCTGATTTACACCGAGCAGTATCGGGTTGTCTTCCTGGAGCACTTTCCAGAGGAGGAGCACTTTCCGGGGAGAGGTGTGTTGACCCGCGGTCATGGCGTCAGCCTCTTCATCAAGCCCCTTTCTGTCTGTTACGCAGGTGCGCCCCTGTCTGAGGCTCCACAAGAGAACTAGGCCAGCCAGGAATGCAGGTGCACGGGCACAGGTTCTGCTTCCTGCAAGACTGCTACCTGGAGGAAGAGAGTGCTTCCCAAGGAGAGCTGTGCAGCGGCGTGCTTCACTCCAGGGCCCGGAGCTCATTCTAGAAGGAGGACATGGATGGAGCCCGCGCATGGCTACCCCGGCATCCACTCTCCTGCGAGGCCTAACGCGGACCCCCCGGGGATGCCTCCTGAGTGACGATGGTCCGCCGCTGGGTGCTGGCGTGGGTGTCCCGGCTGGTACTGCTGCTGGTGCTGCTGTGCTGTGCCCTGTCTGTGCTCTACATGCTGGCCTGCACCCCCAAGGGTGGTGATGAGCGGCTGGGGCTTCCCAGGGCCAATGGCCCCACGGGCAAGGAAGGCTACCAGGCGGCGCTGCAGGAGTGGGAGGAGCAGCACCGGGACTACGTGAGCAGCCTCAAGCGGCAGATTGCCCAGCTCAAGGAGGAGCTGCAGGGCCGCGTGGAGCAGCCGCCTCCGCCACCGCAGCGCCCTGACCTGCTGGCCTTCCTGCGCGCGCAAGTGGACAAGGCCGAGGTGCACACGGGCGTCAAACTGGCCACTGAGTACGCCGCCGTGCCTTTCGACAGCTTCACTCTGCAGAAGGTGTACCAGCTGGAGACCGGCCTGACTCGCCACCCGGAGGAGAAGCCGGTGCGCAAGGACAAGCGCGATGAGCTGGTGGAAGCGGTGGAGTCGGCAGTGGAGGCCCTCAACAACCCCGCAGAGAGCGGCCCCAATCGGAGGCCCTACACGGCCCAGGACTTCATAGAAGGTGCGAACATGTGGGCAAGGGCGGGAGCAGCAAGGGAGGTGCCCTGGGGTCCCCACTCTGAGTCCCTGCTCACATCAGCCCTCTTGGGCTGTGGCATGGTTGGTGCCCAGTAGGAAGAAGCAGATTTTTTATTTTTCAGAGACATCTGTTTCTTGCTAATTCAGGTATGCTCATCTAACCCCATTCCTCTGTGGGTCATGAGACCACCATCTCCCAAGGCTGTAGGCAAGGCAGACACATCAGAAACCCCGTCTGCCCACAATTAGGCCTCGATTCTGAATAGTTTTCTGTCTTAAGATATTTAGTTTTTTTACTTAAGCTGAATATTTTTGGTGTATTATGATCTTTCAGATTCTTAGAGCCAGTTCAATAAGTCTTGGCCCCTGCTACCGATGTGGGAAACCCAGATAGGGTTGCAGGCTCCTGAATTCAGCCTGGTCCAGCCCTGGCTGTTGCAGCCCCACCTGGGGAGTGAACCAGCAGACACAGTTCTCTTTGTGTCTCTCCCCCACTCTTTCACTCTGCCTTTTGAATAAATGCATACATCTTTAAAAGTCTTTAATGAGAGTAAGCTTTGAGTGTGCAGGTTTTAACCCATTTCTCATGAGATACTGCAAAGGTGTGGTATACCCTGCCTCCACCTGTAGAGACACATGGTGAGCTCTGAATAGGGTTGAGAAGATGATGATGGGACAGAACATGAATTTGTGCTTCTGGTTTCTGAAGTGTTTCCACATAGATTGCCTTGCTAGCTGATCCTTGGGGAAGATCATCACATTATTTTAAAAAATTCACATTCCCACTGTCCCCCGGCATGTGCAATTTGGAGCCACCAACATACACAGCGCCACCTGCTTCTAAGGGTCTCACTCTGCCTGCATATTCAACATCTGCCTGCTCTTCTGTGTCCGTATCAGGATCCACAAGCCCTCTCTTTCACACAGCGCAGGTGTCAGTCTCTTGCCCCTGTGCCCCTTCTCTGCGATGTGAGCCTCTTGTGACAGCTGCCCGTGCTGCTTGAGGTGTGGACACACTGCAGACAGCTCGAGGCAGATAACCCAGTCGTGTCCTCCAGGGTTGGTAAGAGTCCACACCGCTGTGTTTTATCACAAAAACCCTTTACACCTTTTTAGATGGATGTAGCTGTCCTAAGCATTATGGCTTGTGTCATTTCTTTGATTCATGTCAGTAACACATGATCATGAAGATGGTCTTGATTCCTAAAAGTGAGGCGTTGTGGGAGATGCTACCAGCAAGGGCAAGCTGTAGGAGTCCCTCTGACAAGTGACACTTGAACGCAAAGTGGGATTCCTGGCACTCGAGGCATTTTATCATCAACTGGATGAACAGTGGCCTGAAGTTATAGCTCCTGTTTCTCTCTTCAGGGAAGTGGTTGGACTAAATTGCTTTCAAGGACCTTTTTCAATCCTGGCTCACAGTTCTTTATCTGTCCCTAGTTAAGGAGAAAGAAGGAGTGGTAAAAGTCTGGTTTGAGATCTGCCTTCTGTAATGGTTTGACACTTGATGGAGACCTTTAGACTGTAAAGTGTATCTCTCAAATAACTAATTGATGTTTGTGAACACGACCCCAGAGAAACCGATTTTGTATCTATTTTCCACTGGCCAAGAGCTGGAACAATATTACAGCATCCCATGGAAAGGCTTCAGGTTAAAACTCCCAGAGTTTTACAGGAAAACAGGACACCTGTGGGAACCCTGACTATTATGATAAGGACAGCAAACACTCAGATGTTGGTACTGAGATAAGGAAGTGTGCGATTGTGCACAGTGGGTGACCACACATGTTTGGGGGAAACGGCAGGATCAGACTTGCCGGTAGGTGGGCCAGCCTGAGGATGTCAGGCCTCATGGTGCTCAACCTGCACTGTGATACGTCAGGTTAAGATGCTGCCTTTCATGTTGGCATTCCACATCGAAGCCAGCTTCCACCAGCTCCACTTCTACTCCAGCTCCCTGCTACTAATGCGCCTGGGAAAGCAGTGGAGGATGGCAAAGTCATCTGGGCCCCCGCCAACCATGGAAGACATCCTGACTGAGTGCCCAGCTCCTGGATTTGTTGTGGCTCAGCCCTACTCATTGTGGCTGTTTGAGTGAATAAAACATCAGGTAGAAGACTCGCTCTCTCTCTCTCTCTCTCTCTCTCTCTCTCTCTCTTTCTCTGTACCTGTCTTGGCAACTCTGCCTTGTAAATAAGAAAGATCTTTAACAACTAATTCTCATCTTGTATCTTCAAGGGAAGTGGTGTGTAAGTGGGTGGGGCAGCATCCCTGGGCAAGGTCTTCTGGAATGACCGCCACCGTGCTGTCCGTGTGAATGTAGAGCTAGGAGTCTACACCTGAGGCTTCACTTCGTAGAGCAGATTGTTGCAGAGCATCACAGAAAGTCACCCGGTGCCTTGGGAATCCAGGCCCCCGCCCTTCTCCAGCAGGAGTCTGAGACTAGAAGCATCCCAAGCTGGACTCAAGAACCAGTGTCACAGGAGACCTTGACATGCTTCATAGTTTTTTGAGTGAAGAGGCTTCTTATTTTCATTTTCCTTGATCTCCACTGACTGTCCAACCAGGTATAGAGGAAGAAGGGTGGTCGTCCCAGGCTTCTACGGCCATTAATGCAGAGGTTTGTTTATGTTACTGGTAAGATGGTTTTCTCAAGAAGAGGCCTTTCCCACTACTTGCATGCTGAATCATAAGCCTCTGATGTGGACACCCACACTGAGCAGAGAGGTGGGGTAACTGCTGAAGGAAGGAAGACCCGAGTCTTCCTTTCACTATAAAAATTTTCAACAGACAAAAATTATAGAAATTATCTGTTTATGTTGTTTGCCGTCATCATCAACTGACGACCAGGGCTATGAATTTTGAACTTGCAAACCACTTTCCAAATATGCTACCACTACTTTGAGGCTTAGCATTTCAGCATATGGGCACTGGTCAGCTGGAGGCACAGGCACAGGGAGGGGACAGCCTCAAGTTGGAACACTACTGGGATTCCAGCTGGTGTTGGAGTGGAATATGCCAATCAGGAAAGCCTTAAGGGCAAGACCAAGTCAGACGGGGGGCATCAGGAAGGACCCAGGAGAAGCTTGCCATCAGTCAGCAAGCGGGTCCCAGCAGGGTCCCTGACCTGCTTGGCTCAAATGGATTGGTTCCGGAAGGAGGTTGGGGCTTCGTATTAGATCCCAGAAAACTCATAGCAGGTGCATTCTGAGTATGGAGACCAGAACGTGCAGATAGTTGAGGAGACAGGAAGTTGACTCCTCTGGGATACTGATCCACTCAGGAGACACTGAATTTCTATACTGGCAGGTGTGGTTGATCTTAGGATGGAGCTGGTGTTCTCACGCAACATAAGTGCGTCTCCAAACAGGTGCTCCCTGCCCCCGATGCACTTTGCGTTTTGTTTCTGAAATCCTGTAAACTTCTAGATATTTTCTGAAGAATTCTCACTAGTTACCAATGTTCCTATAAAATTACAGTGTAAACACATTATTCATTTTCAAGTTCATGACCAAACTTCCTTGAATTATGAATATGTTTATGGTCAATAAGTAAAGTTTATTAATAGCACACTGTGTGCTTTGGCCTTCCTTCTGTGCTTAATGAAAGCATTAATCTCTGTAACCTCTGCCCACAATGAAATTGCACCGGAATTTGATGAAAAATGGCAGACTCATTGGCTGCATAGAGAGCTGATGGAATCTAAGAGTGTTTTTTGGCTGCCCTTCAGTTAATGTCACAAACTTATTTAGAATCAGTCATGTCCTCTGAGAATCGGTGGACAGCACAGACACACGTGAAATGCCAAGAGGGAAGCCTGAGAGGGACCCTGCTCTAATGATTGACGAATGTCTCACCATGTACCATGCCCTCTGCTGCTGAAAGCCTGCAGCGCTCCTGCAGCCTGGTCCTTGTGAATGCCAGTGAATCTCAGGGGAGGCCAGGGGTTTCCCCTGCGATGGGCTCTTGGCGTTTTGTTTGGCTCTGGTTTTAGGGTTCTGGGGGATCCCCATCCTGGTCTCTGTAATGCCTGTACTGAATTTGCATTCTCATATGCAAATGAGCCATATGTCAGGGTTCCCTGTCTTCCACATCCTCACCAGCATGTACTGTTTTTGTTTGGTTTTTACTTTCCTGATTTTGGCCGTTTTGACCAGGATGAGAAGATGCCTCCGGAGGGTTTTGGTTTGCATTGTACCAACTGGAGGACATTGTAATCCGTGAAATAAGCCAGATGTGGGAAAGTCCATTGTCATCACACAAGGGGAGCCTTGGATAGTAGATTAGATAGATAATAGGATAGTTTTAGGGTACTACATACAGTGGGGAACTGTCATTTACAACAACCTAGTTTATATTTATCTATCCATCTAGAGAGAGATTTAGTATTTCTGTTGGTCTTTAATAAATGCAGCATAGCTCATAGATACAATTCCAATCTGATGGGCCTTTCCTTTTCTCTCTCACCTGCCCCATAATTCTTTCTTTTTCCTTCTTTTTTTTTTTTTTTGCAGGACTTATTTATCTGAAAGGCAGAGTTACAGAGAAAAAGGAGAGAGAAAGAAAGAAAACAAAGGAAATAATAAATTGCAGGTCACAACTGAGGCTTAACCAGTGTCTAAATAACCAGGCTGGGGGAGACCACCTGCGTAGCTGTGCCTGTTCTAGGAAGAAAATCTTTTGAACGCCTTTTCAGCAGAACCCCTTGGAGCCTGCACCCCATGTTTGCCGTTGTCAGGATGGTTTGTTTGGTCCCTGTGGTGGAGGCTGTCGGAGCAGGTGCAGCCTTCCAGGGGCCCCTGCAGAAGATGTCAGGGCTCTGTGTGCTTGTGGCCCCCGGCCTGGCAGAACCAGGCCTGGCAGAACCTGGCAGGGAACACAGTGTTCCCTTCCTGTGGCATCTCCTAATCTTTGTATCCCTCCCAGGTGTCCTTCAGTGAGCTACCAATGAACATGGCAAGAGGAAAGAGGGCAGAATGCCTC